CCCCCCGCGCGCGCTTTCTGGGGCCGACATACAGTAGAACCAAAAAACATGTCCCGTTTTCGAGGCGTTTCTTTCATTCCCTTAACGACAAAGAAACAACACAGTAGCATTTCCCTTAAAAGACACCTAGATAATCTTAAACAACGGAGAAATTCACTTGTTTGTAATTAAAGGTAATATTCGTTTTCCGAATTGACACAACTTAAATCAATTAGGAAGTGGATTTATCTTGCCTCACTTGCAAAAGTTAGCCGGTACAGTCACGTGATGGATGCATTCTTACAGAAAAGTGGAGATTTTCCATAACAGATCTTCTTGTGGGAATCCAACTCGGGGTATTGAATACAAAGTGAACACCATTACCCAGTCAAGTCGTTTCAGAGATTTTTCATATAAACACACGAGTAACCTGAGAGACAGTCTATTATCCAATTAGTAAAGCACTATTCGCTGTAAGCAGGACTTTGTCTATGGCAGTGCATTCCTCTTGTCTTGAAGAGATTGCGGGAAGCTTGATGTTCTTTCCGTTTGTTTGGTCCTACCTTAAAAATCACAACGTCCATTCCACATAGCATATTATAAAAAAGAATATTAGAATTAAAAAATAACGTAGATCATCTTAAAGCCCCTACGCACACGTGCTCAAACAGCCCGTAACGCTTTACATAAAGCCAAGTTCAAATATAATAAAGGAAACACAATAACATTTGCTCATATGAGTGAAGAAATGACACACACACACACACACACACACACACACCACACCACACACACACACACACACACACACACACACACACGTACAACATGTAGGCACACAACCCATGCAAACTCACTCTCAAAGAGAACCAGCATTCCACTCAGTACGCCTTAAATTTATTCGCACAAATGTGCCACGTTGTTCTAGCAACTGGACAATAAGGATAAGGACAAATGATCGATCTTATCTAACGGACGACAGTAAAACTCACTTTGCGTAATTTGCACTTTGCTCTTGATGAGAACAGCAAGCACAGCTGCATAACGCGTCCTGTTCGTTTGCTGTGCTTCGAGGTGTTGCGCTGTCGTTGCTGTTCCTGTGAATAAAGCCTGCGGGTCAGTGTTTATGTCGTAGACCTGTTGCGTGGGGGCAGTTTCTCTGCTATTTCCTCCTGAATTCGCACCTCCTTCTCTTCCACCTCTCCAAGATCTAGACCCACCTCTGCCTCTTCCTCTTCCCCTTGAGTTGCTGCGACCACGGCCAGACCCTCTCCCTCCTCTCCCTCGTCCTCGTCCTCTTCCAGGCATAGTTTCACACTGATATCCTGAAACTTTACGTAAAACAACAAGTTGGTAGTGCCAGTAGTGTAGGCTATAGAATATCACAAGCTTTTATATAGGCTGATATAATTAACTTAAGAGAAAATCCTGTGCACATATCACATAGATCTAGACTAGATCTTTAATTAGTTAACATCAGCGACGCGCTTATGCAAGTGAACCCAACGTGAATAGATCTCTAGGTCCAGAAAAGAATTATTGTCCAAATATTCTGTTCACAAGAAATGAAACCTAGATAATAGATCCGCATTTCCATAGGCCTACCAAAGATCGTGCAGAGAATCTTTGAGCCCACTCTTATCAGACCGCTATATGTCTAACCATTCTTATTCTATTTTTAGGTTCTTCGTATTGGCCTCGTCAACCTTAATTAACCCCCTGTCGATTTCATCTTCTAGTGCAACCTTAGAGTTTTACAGTATCTGAACAGTTGTTGCATCATAGTTTTGGAAACAGGACGTTTTCATTTCTTATTATGTTGATTGTCTCTTTTTTCTGAATTTCTTCGCTTCTGAAACTATCACATCGGCGTTGCACATTGCCGTAGCAACGATAAACAATAATTTATTTTGTTCTAAAGTCGAACCGTTCCGGCGAAAACACTGTTCGTACTTTTCTAGATTCGTCTTTTTTCGTACTCGATGTGGTTAACCCTGCTCCTGTAGTTGTAGAGTTGTCTTATAAATAGTATTAATAGACCATGGCGCATGGATTCTATATTTATATCTGACTGTGAATACATGCCAAATGATGCAAGCGTTGTACAATACGAATGCTGCACTTTCCAAATGATTATGATTATGAAAATATGGTACTACTTAAGAATGTGGGTTCCGTTTGGGGATATATCTACATGTACTAGTATTGACCCCGTCGACGACTTCTGGTTCTAAACTACGATTACTTTTTGATGCGCGCGCCGATAGACCTATGGAGAGATTGCCTATCGAACCTAATTGCAAGACATCAATTATGGTCAAATTAAAATTCCATGGCCCCCTGAAACCCCCATGTTTTTTTTAGGTCCCCCTGAAACCCCCTTTGCCTTGTTAAAAACAGGTGAAATTTTACTGCTCATTTTGTAGGCTAGATCCAAACCAAACATAATGTTATATTTCTAAAAATGGCATTTATTTATTTAATTATTGTTTATTTTACAGAGTTATAAAAAAAAAATTTTAAACCAAACAAACGCACACAAATTATACAACGTTTTTTTTTGGTGTAATATTTTCGTGCACACTGAAGATTTGCGTTTCAAATTTGTACCCAACTTTTGGAAGTCAAAGGAATTTGTCTGATTCATTTTAGATAAATCCACAAAATAGTTTTGCTCTACACAGCTCGTAAAAAAACAACCCATTTTCTGCTACGTCTCCATTTTTGTAGTATATGACGCACTAGTTCGCATTAGGCCCGCCACTAAAAGTGATCCACCCCTTGGCGCTTATATATGACCTTATGCAGTTGCGAGCGCCGTAAAACCTCTACATAAACTTTTTTAAAAACCCAACTGAATCATACTCTCCGCCTTGCACACAAAAGTTTTTGATATCTATTCCAATTCCTATTTGTTTATATTTTAAAATCCAGTGCTACCTTTTTCTCCTTCCTGTAGTGCGGTCAAAAATTCGTGGCGCAACATATTGTCAAATATTTCCTAAACTATCAAGCATAGACTTTCCAGCTTTTGCACAATGACTTGTATCAAGTTTTTTGTTTTTTTAAACCAGCCTCAGTTGTTGTGGAAAAAATAGGATTAAGTTAATACAAATTGATACAAACTGCTGAGCAAAATATGGTTGACATTGATCCCCCCGTTCAAGAGATATTTGAGGATAAGTTGCGCCTCGAATTTTTTTTTTTTTTACCGCACTACAGTATGTAGTTTCTATCAAATCAGGGCCTTATATCTACCATACAGATACAATACAGTTTGAATTCTACAAGTGGATCATCTAAATAGTGTCGAGGGGATGTTAAACATTTATAACAACAACAATTTTTTGTCACTGAGATGATAGCAATAATGATACTGAGTGATAATTGTGTTGGCAGGAATCGATAAAACTTGTAAGTAGGCCTGCATAACACAATCACATTGGTTGATCCTTTGTACCAAAGACTTTAAAGAATCCTTATTATAGTTTCCACAGTTCAGTAACATAACGCTGAGGCATAGCAGCAACAAATGTTTTATAAAATGACGTACCTTCGGTGTTGCCTTAACTATCAACTTAAGTCTGTTTGTTTTGGGTACTTTTTATGCAAGAGATTAAAAACAATGTTTGTGTTGTGCTTAGCAGGAATCATAAAAAAGCAATAACAGCAACAACAAAATGTAAGCCTGACTATCGCATTTAAACTGCATTTTGGTGATACTGAAAGGTGTATCTTTGATAGAGCCTTGTGGGGGGGGG